CCCAGTCAGCACCGCTACCTTCCTGGCCGGTCCCCCCTCCCCCAATGAAGCGGGCCGCCACGGGGGAGGAGAAGAGGGTGGGACACTGACATACACGGCCAGGGGGCGGGGTCATGTACGTCAGTGTTACAGACGCTCAGACACTGGGCTACTATATATATATATATGATAAGCATAATCGTTTATATACAGTTTGTAGATTGCTTCAGAACTGGAAATGAAAACAGAGATACTATATCCAGTTTGTTGTAAGGCTAATTGGTTTAGAGTTTACAATTTAAGTTGGGATAGAAATTTTCGGTGTAGTGAACTGCATTAATTTCCTGTATGGAAGGTTGTGTGAACTCCCAGAAGCCGATAAATTTCTCTAGAATATTTTAGCTGCCCAAAAGTGAGAGTGGAAGTTAGTGAGGAATATGTGAATGCATTAAGAAAGCTACAGTGGATGAAAATGTTGCCCCTGCAACTTTCACAAGTTCTGAGTTTTGAACATCCCTGACCTTTTTCTATGGGACACTTGCTGTATTCCATTGAGAGTCCCCAGGAGTTATTTAACACTTGTCATGCAAACCCTGCACTGAAGCCATTATTTTCAATATGTTTGTCTATAGTGCCCTTGTGAATGGTTTGGGGTGGCCACACTGAGGTTACTCAGAGCAAACTGCAAAGAATGGAGCAGACAATCCCCAACTCAGCAGCTATTCCAATATTTAAATTTATCAAGTAATCATAAAATAGCTTCTATTGCATCTTACTGGTTACCTAGACCCCAAAACGCAATTCCCTTAAAGCGACTCAGCCTTTGGGCTCCCTTGTAGGCAGCCAAATCAAATATGAAAGTTGTACAAATCTCAGAGGATTGGACACATTACCTTTCAAGTTAATGAATACTCTAGATTTTACCCAAATACATGCTTACAGCCAATTCTTATTAACAAAACTAAAATTTACTAAAAGTGTGAGTATTAGTTAAAGATCAATATACATACAGGCATGAGTACACTTCTGACATCAGTTTCATAGTAGATATAGTGAGCTTTGTAGTTTGAGTTTTCAGAATTAGTCCAAAGTTCATATTCAGGGTGACCAAGGTGTGGGACTGGAAATCTCAGTCTTACCGACTCAGGCTTCCCCTGCATAAATCATTGAGCACATCTGACATCAATGGATCAGGTCCCAAGAGCCTTTTATAGCAGCCTCTTGACCATGCCATCCTGAGTGAACAATAAGCTCTGGTCATCTGAAGAAGTGGGCTATGCCCATGAAAGCTCATGATACCATCTACATGTGTTGTTAGTCTATGAAGTGCTACCAGACCATTTGTTGTTTTTTTGGTAACAGACTAACTCGGCTACCCCCTGAAGCTCCAATAAGCTTTTGAAGTAACCTTCTATGGCATTTCTAAACATCGCTGGTAATTAATTAAATGGTAATTAACTACATGGATTAACATAATGCAATTATTCATTAAACAGTTCATATACAAACTTCAGAGACACATAGACAAAGACATTATTTCACCCAAGATTAATCTAAATGTTGGTATTTCCTTTTGATCTCTGACTCAATAGCTATAGTGATAACCATGTAAACAGACACTTCCAGTTTAACAACTAACAAAACAGATACATACAATTAGTACCACCTCTAATTCTCTAAAAATACAGACCTGGATTTCAAAGTTCTAGCCTATCTAATGTGGAATGGTCCTAATTACTACTCTTCTAACACATCTCTAAAGGTTGAATCTGAATCAGTTACCATTTTGGCCATTTATCACAGTTCTATTTATGGTATCTGAGTAGCTTCATAAAGATTATTGAACTAATCCTCATGACAGCCGGGTTGGATTCAGTGGCGGTGGTATTATTTCATAGGTGAAGGAACTGAAGCACCGAGGCCAAAATTTCCAACTAACTAATAACTGGAGCCTCAACTTGAGGCACCTATGATCTAATTTGTTTTGAGATTATTTGGGGTTTATTACAGTTCTTAATATGTCCTGGACTCCTCTTCCATTGACTTTTGTTGCTTTTCTGTGCTCAAACATATCTGTGTATCTGGCTGGGCCTTCTGTCACTGTTTGTGCACTCCAAAAAGACAGCACTACTAGTGACTAACTATAAAGTTTGATTGAGATGGCTTGCCCATTATCCCATTGAAATTCCATGACAGGGATAGAAATTAGTTCCCCAAGGTGGCATTAACTACAAGACCATCCTTTCACTTCATGTGATCTCTTGCCTCACTCACTATACAACTTCCAACTTACGTAACAGTTGAAGCAATGATCCTATATACAACAGCTTTATTCATTTCCAGAGCACAATGTGTCTTGTGCAGTGAGTAAGGTAAGGATCCTATGAGACAAATAGTAAGGGATCATGTAATTAAAGATTGTATCATAATGCCTCAGTCCTGGTATTTCCTAATTCTTCAGTGCTTGGCTTTGCAACTGTTACATACTCTATTATTTTTGTGTAATTTCCTAACTTACATTTTTTTTTCCGGTTTTATCATGTGATGCAATCACATCCATATGTTTCCTCAACAGGTTAGGTCCACGGCACAGACTTCTTCCATTTAAACTAATGGAGTAATTCATATAATTAGTCAAGGTAGGTGAGGCAATAGCTTTTATAGGAGCAACTACTGTTGGTGCAAGAGCTTTCAAGCTTTATACAGTTTCCACTTCTGCTCTGTTTAAGCTTGAAAGCTTGTCTTTCTCGCCAACAGCAGTTGGCCCAGTAAAAGATATCTCACCCATCTTGTCCCTCTTATATCCTGGGACTGACATAGCAACAACACCATTGCATACAGCAGTAGTAATTGTCACTTTTTATGGACTACCACTAGAAAGGAATGACACTTTGTCAGTTCATTTCATATCTATTTACAGATTATAGAGGAATGTAGACAGGACTCTTGAGTTCAATTCCAGGTTGTGGCAGAATATGTTCTAAGGGTTATATATCTGCTTGTGTCTGTCTTCCTCCACTCCTATTCAGTCCCAGCTTCCTGATTCCTGATCCACATCATTTGTCTCCTGTAGCAGTCTTGCTCCCCATCTCACCATTCCTCATTCCTTTGTGTTCCAGTCAGGCTGTTCTGCCATCTTAGGCTATGTCTACACTCACGGCTTCTTGTGCGATAAATATGTAAATGAGGCTAATCATGGAATATAACCATGGAATATCACCGAGCCTCATTTGCATGCCTAATGAGCCGCCATTTTTGCAGAAGAGGCTCTTGTGCCAGAAGGAGCTGTCTACACTGCGCCTTCTTGTGCAAGAAAAACCCTCTTGCGCAATGCCGTTATGCTGATTATTTTCAGGAATAACGGCGTTGCTCAAGAGGGTTTTTCTTGCGCAAGAAAGCACAGTGTAGCCAAGCTCCTTCTCGCGCAAGAGCCTCTTCTGCAAAAATGGCGGCTCATTAGGCATGCAAATGAGGCTCGGTGATATTCCACGCTGAGCCTCATTTGCATATTTCTTGCGCAAGAAGCCATGAGTGTAGATATAGCCTGATTGTTTGCCATCTTATTGTCCCCACCGAAGGAGCTTTGAAAGAGTACAGGAGAGACAGAGGTCCTGTTATCTTTTAACATTAGCAAAATTTAGGTATTTTCACTAATCTTGTTTTCTGAAATGGATGAACTGTGTTAGCCAAAGCACTCCAGAATTTTCAGCTGGGGTAGATGGCTGGCATGATAATTTTAGCCTGAATGTATAAACTTTGGAATTATAAGCAACAAATAAGGTCTTTTATGGTAGGAAGTGTTAAGAACCTTAACAACAGATGGTGCCACCTGCTCCAGCTATATTGTCTTGGTAGGTATGTAAAAGTAAAGGACTGGATAGTGGCGTAGCCACCTCTTCTATGTCAGTAGTCGGGTAATTGTAACTCAGTTTATCATTACTGCTTTTATTTAGAATCCTCACTTTTTTTTTTTTTTGTGTTTTGTGTGTGTGTGTGTGTGTGCAGGTCAGAAGCGAGCTCCTAAAAGGGGAGAACAAGGATGGAATGATAACAGGGGAACAGAAATTAAACAAGACAAAGCTGAATGGAGACCTTCTTTCAGGGAATACCGTCCCTATGAAAAGGAGAGACAAGTGGAATTCACAGTAGAAAAGTGTGTACCTCTAAGATGATTCAAGGTGGCCCTTAATGAAGGGTTTAGTGTCCCAAGAGACTTTTTATGGACTAGGGATGTGAAAGGCTAACTGGTTAATCAGTATGAATCACCCTTAATGGATGATGCTTACTAGTTCTAGTTAACTGGTGGGGGCTGGAGCAGCTCCCTGTCCACCACTAGCAGGGGGCTGCTCCAGCCCCACAGGGCTTGCCATGGACTGGAGCGCTCTAGTTCGGCTGGAGCAGTCCCTCTCGGTGGTGGGCCCAGGTGCGTTGCAGTCAGGGACTGCTTCAGCCATCCACCCCCAATCACTTAACCATTTAAACTTCACTTTTAACCAGTTAACCAATTAAATAGGATTATATATTTATTTTATGAACTACAATTTTAATTAGCACTTATTAGTGTGATAGCCTAGGTTTGGTTGTGTAAGTACTTGAAAACTGATTGGCTCTTTGTCGATCAGTAAACTATTTTGTATTTACACTGCAGTCAGAATGTTGTATGGGTCTAGTGTTTTCATGTCAGTTACTTTAGTGGAATAATACAGACTTATTTTGTTAGCTAAGGAATTGGTTTAAAGATCTGGTTTCAGTACCTGCTGTGCAGTACTTGGTGATATTTCATGACTTCACCATATAGGTGTTTACTTAAAATCTGATTGGTGATGTTATTATCTAAGCCTTGTAGCTCCATGAAATTCCTTAATGCATAGGATTAGCTTGAGGTTAAAAATAATAATTGATGTTCAGCTATTCATTTCTCTGGGCCTCAGCTGCTGCTCTGTCTTCTTTAGTTGCCTTGCTGTGAAATCTGCATATATTTATTTTTTTGTTACCACAGCACCTTGACTGAAAGCTATGGTTCCTTTTCACAACCACTCCTCTGTCCTTTTCTCTCTTCTCCCAAAAAGAAATGTGAAGAGCTGGAGAAAAGGTACAGAGCAAGAGAGAGTTTCAGGCAGATATCTGAAGGGAGACAGAAAACAATGTGTGTTGCCTAACTGCAGCAAAATAACACATGGTACAGTAAAAATTGTTGAATTCTATGGCATCTTTCAGGTGGAAAAGTCATATTCCAGAGTGTCACAGTCCAAGGGCCCTGAGTGACATGAATCAGACACTTCTCATCTTTCAGAGCTATCACTTTAGATTCTTTACAGACATGGATGGTTATTGGTTACATGACTCAAAATTTCAAGGTTATTTTTGCAGCCATAAGGATTAGAAACTTAACAAAAAATTAAATTGGAGCACAATTGTGAAGCAAAGGGTGGATTCCACATCAAATTCTACAATCACAAGAATACATGGGGGCCTGCTTATACCCACGTTAGCTAATAAACCAGATCTACTCCTGACCATGCTGTATGGTCAGTGAACTCAGATAAATCAGTCTTACTATCTCTTTCATAGAACGAATTCTCTTGAGGTTTTTTTTTTAAATATTCATAGGTTTGAAACTGTTTTGTTTATTTCTCACAAGAGGCTGACTTTAAACAAATCCAGAACTTGCATCTAGCACATGCAAATCTAATATGAAGTCAGTAAGGGTACGTCTACACAGCGTTATTCTGAAATAACATAGTCCGCGTCAACACTACAAGCAGTTATTTTGACATAGCAAAATAATATTGAGCTGGAGGACTACTTAATCCGACTCCTGTAACCATCATTTTACCAGGAGTAAGGAAAGGCTGAGGAAGAGTGCTCTTTCTTGGACTTCCTGCTAGGCAGTGCCAAAAGCTGAAATGAGCTATTTCAACTTACACTATGCAATTGACATAGTTCAAGTTGCTTGGCTTATGTCAGCTTTAGCCCTGCTATGTAGACATGCCCTAATAGTGCCTAATTTAATACTTTAAGATGTTTGGCATGTTGAGGAAAAACACACAATTAATAGTCTCCATTACTGACACAAGGATAAAAGAATTCATATCTAAAACTTTGTTCATATTTAGTTTGTTTTTAATGCGGACAAAGAGCACTAGTCTGGATAAGAGTGTATGCTAGTGAAAGATGTGATCTAAAAATGTCTAATGTGTATATGTGACCAGTTGAATCACAGGGTACACTTAGGATTGTCATCTGAGTGCTGGTCATGCCACTGAGACTGCCAATTTGACTTCTGGAGTGCCCCACCACCCTGGCCTTCTGAGCCAGGTGCTCTGGTCTCACCCCAACTCTGACTCTGCTAGGGGGCTGTTCCCCAGCCAAGGAACACAGACACTGAACCAGATTGCTTCTGGGTGGCTCAGTTATAAGGCCACTGACAGCTCCCAGGAATACAGCCCCCCATAAAAGGATCAACCCCCAAATAGGTCTATCTTACTGTGTAAAAATTTTACACAGAGAAAGCTTATACATTTGCCCTCCTTAGCAACAGAAGAGATGCACAGTGGTTGATTCCCCGTCAGTTATTTACACTGAGCAAAAATGTTTTTATGAAGTGTAAAAAGTAGGATTTAAGCAATTGCAAGTGAAAACCAACAGATCAAAATAAGTTACTAAGTCAAAACAACACACGCTAACTAATCCTAATACACTAAGAAATTGTTACATGCAAAGTATATTCCTCGTTTCTTGTCCTTGTTTCAGGGAAAATGTTTCCAGGCCGAGTTAATTTTTTTCCTTCTGACCTGGGTCTACAGCTCTGTCTTTAGAGTTCTTTGTTTTAGGTTTCTTCATGTGTACTTTCTTAAAGTGTAAATGGGGAGGCAACTTCAAAAGCCAGATGAAGAAAAAAGACTGATTGCTTTCCATTCCTTAAATAGACTTTTCCTGGGATGGGAACCCTTTTTTAGTCTCCACATCTCCATGGGAAAATGTCAGGTTCAAGATGGCAGGATCTGGTGGTATTGTCACATGTCTTTCTAGGACCAACCACAATTTGCGTTTACAGGAAAAACAAAACCTTTAATAGGTTGTTGACTTCCTCTCTGAGCCATTAAGTTCCTAAAGTGTAGCTGATTTTTTTTAAACTAGAACATCTAGACTAATAAAACAGATTCCCACTTAAAATTTCTAACTTGGTGTACAAGAAAGATATGTGCACAAAAATAGGGTATGCAGGTTTAGTGGATTACAACTTTTAAAATGTTACATGATATACTTTGCATAAGCATCTTTGAGTTAGGCATAGACATCAGCCAATTTTAATCAAGTAGGAGAGGGTCTGCAACAATAATGTAATTGATCTATGATCACAACTGCACTAAATCATCCCTTATAATGCCAGATGTTCTCTTTGCATAGAAGTAGTCTCACTAGAAATCTTTCTTGTCTTTCAGGCCTGTTGACCGATTTGACCGGGAAAGACCAATGAGAGGTCGTGGGGGAGGAAGAGGTGGAATGCGAAGTCGAGGAAGAGGTGTTGGGATGAACCGAAGTCTTAATGGCTATGACCAAAGAGGAAAACGGGAGTTTGAAAGACAGAGTGGGAGTGATAAAACGTAAGTGCTGTGTGTCTGTCTACTGCTCTCATCTAAAATAACAAACACACACATCAACCCTTAAAAAAGCTATTGAAATGTTTGGAGTGGGGAAGAGTATAATCAACAAATTAATACTGCCTTCAGTTTTGTATACCGACAAGAGAGGAATTTCTGATTTGAGGAATACTGTTTCTGTTTCTAGAGGAATCAAAGCAGAAGACAAAAGGAATGGAAGTGGAGCTCGCAACTGGGGAACAGTTAAAGATGATCTGAGGTATAAGGCAAATTTGTGCCCATTCTAGTTTTTAACATTTTCTGTAAAATAATATGCTTGGTCACGGTCACCTTTTTATTTCAAGCTTTTCAGTTTGAAACCCAGCTGTTCAGTTTTTTGAGTGTCCTACTAGCCCTTTGCTCAAGCATAATAAGTAAATCCTAGCCTAGAGGAGAGTCTTCATTTAAGTCAGGCTTCCAAGTATCCATTTGCCTAAGGCCAAGTCATCTTTTGACTGCATTGAAATATAATTAGCTTTCCTGTTTTAGTAAATGGTGGGCTTGGGCACTGTTACTGGCCTGTATCAATTTTAAAGAGATTTCTGCAATGCTAGCAAAATATTCAGGTCATAAGTTGTTCTATACTCTTCATCTGGCTGCATTAGAGATCTCCTTGAACTGGAAACAGGACCACAAGCAACCATTTCTGCCCCTTCACACAACTGGAGATATGCTGCTATTTCAGCTAAATATTATAGTAACTGCATAAGCTGGCTTTCCTTCAAAGGGACATAGCAGGACTGTGTGGCTTATCTGCATCCTCCTGAGTTGGCTTACTCTGGGGAGAAGAGGCAAAACTTCTGACATACGGCAAAAATCTCCATAATGGCCAATGAAGTTTTTTCTTTCTCATTGCATTGTCTAAGAAACTTGCTAAATCTTTATATATAACCAACTTAATAGCTCACAAGTGCATATTTTAGTAATTGTAACTTAAAATGACAAGTCGTTCAAGAGTTAAATATGGGAGAATAAGATCAGTTGTAATTCACAATAACTCGGGTATCTTAGAGGCTTAAGGTAACGTTTTCAAAAGTTTGCATCTTCCATCAATAGAAGTTGATCCAATAAAAATATTACCTCACCTACTCTGTCTCTCAAAAGCATGTAGGTCATCTGGGCATTTTAAGTTGTTTTTTTTTTATTTACTTTCAACTGAATTTAAAATGAAATTAGAAATATTAAATGGTATAGAGAAGGTCAGTTGGGTCTTTCTAATTTACTCAGTGAAATGTAACCTTATGAAAATCAGTGCCACAAGCTATTGAGGCAGATGTATATGAATCAAGAAAATTCATGTAAACAAGAATACCATCTGTAGTTACACATCTTTATTTGTAGCTATGGCACAAGAATGTATCAATGCTTGCTTCAAGATATAAGCAGAGGACTAGGTTTCCTCCTATGATTGTTGTTTAGGGAATCTTTACTTTTTCTTTTTCTCTGAAGTATCTGGTACATCAGATAGGGGAAAAAAAATGGAATTGCCATACTAATACATAAGATACTGGACAGGAATGACTACAAGGTCTCTAAAGATGCATATTAATACTAAGGATGTTAAGTATCCTGTAACTGACTAATTGAGTAGTCAATGCATTTTTGCATTGACTATTTGATTAGTTGACCGGACAGCCATTTCAAATGCTTCAGCCATTTCAAGGCGATCTCTTATAGTCTTGTTGACTATCGGATAAGCATTTGCTTATCGGATAGTTGACTAGTCCTTAACATCCCTAACTAATACTTTAATACAACATTAGATGTACTGTCTCAAATTAAAAACAGTTACTTATTTTTTATATTTACTTGTCACCATAATACATGAGCACAAAATTGAAGAGGAAATGATTTAGTGTTATGAAGAGTACAGTCTACTAGCCTAGATTAGTGAAATTCATGTTGACCAAACCTAGAACAGTCAAGCTATGTGAAGTGATCTAATACTAGCACTGGGTCTGATTTGCCATGGGATTTGCTTGTATCCTGAACATGCACATTTTTGGCTTTCACATATTTATAGTTGCCACATCCCCCAGCCAAGGATTTCCAGTATATAATCTTGTATTAGTAAAACACTAAACCAATCTCATATGATGGTTTGTGGTTTTTTGGTGATCAGTAAATTGGGAACGCTTATGATCACTGTAAAGGTCTTCTAGAACTCCTCTGGAAACACCAGAATGGGTTCTAGCTTCAGTTGGTCATTGAATTTGCTCCCTTAGAAAGAATGGGGTTTATTGATCTGTGAGCTATCCATATGACTTAGGTGGCTTTTGTTTTTATTTTATTTTACTTTTATTTTTTATTTCCCAGTGAGATGGAACAGCAGACTGCTCCTGTAGAAGAGACTGCAGAAATAGAGGATCGCCAAGACGCACCCGAAGGAGAATCTCTGACTAAGTACAGTCTGTCGTAAATATCTTAATTTTAAAATGCAAACAAAATAGTTGGCCAATACCAATATTCTTGATTCATGTTGGGAACCATATCTTTCAATGTACCTGTAAAGCACTTAGCAGACTTTTGGCAACGTATAAATGTTGTAAAATGGAATTAATTCTTTAGGTGAACCGTTTTTTGGCAAAATGGGGCTCCAGGCCCAATTGAGGCCTTCAGATGCTACATATATACTACTACAATAATATTCTAAGTTGTGTCACTATCAACCAACAAATCATCAAGCTTAGTAATTTAGATGATAAATTTCCTCAACATATACATTTTTATTTAAACGAAATAGTGCTCTCTGTTGTTCTTAATTTATATTCTTTATATGATTTATATAGTGGTATTCTAGTTCCCAGTTTTAGATATTACAATAGACATTTTACTTGTAAAATAACCCCTCACTGAGGTACCTGTGGAGCCATGTAGTGATAAAAGGTTGAAACACATTAACAGAAAAAAACCCTTATGAATCATACAGTAAAGTGTGTCTGCTATAAAACAGGAAATTCTCCCTTGAGATTCATATGGAGCCAAGTGTGGCCATCCTCCCACAAATCAATTTTTAAATAAATGAACTGCTTGAAAATAGTGTTGCATCATTTGTATCCGAGGCCTGATACAGAGACAACAGTGTGGAAGGGCAGGCGGGAGCTGGTATATGAAGGGATCTGCTTTTGAAGCTGGCTCCCTGCGCATACCAGCTCGCACAGAGCCACATGCCTTTCACACTGCTGCTTCTGTATCAGAGGCAGCAACATATGGAAGTAGGAAGATGAGAACCAGTGCTCACGAAGAGCTGGCTTTTAAGCCGCCTCCCCTTCCCAATGTGTAAACTACTGAAATTTTACCTGAATACACACATTTAAACATCCCTACTTGGCATGTTCTGATCAGTATCCACATGTGAATATTAATTTTATTTCAAAAGATCTTAATTATCAAGTTAGAAATTAGGTCAGTTCAGCAGTTTTTAAATATCTCCAACACTACTAACTCAAATAACTCATAATGAAGGGATGGTGACATCAAAGTAGGGAGTCATATTTCATCCAACATTCCTTTACATTTGAAGTTGAGAAGAAATCACTGTCTGACTTTGATTTTTGTCAGTCATTAGACAAAAGTTGAAGGCATCTAGTTATTGCCAACCACTTTGCTATGTTTTATGTACATTCATGTTCAAGTTGGAGATATTTAAAAATTAAGTTGGCCTAACCTTGTAAACTATGCAATTAACATATTTGGTTTACTCAGTGTGTTAAAGCAGGGGTGGGGCAAGAGGCAGATAGCAGGCCGGATCTGACCTGTGGCTGCCTCCTAGCAACCTTACTACAGAGCAGCTGCAGCCACTTTAAATAGCAGACTGCTTATTGCTATGCAGTCTGGGCAGGAAGGCGAAAGCTTCATGTGCTGTCTCCGTCCCCTAGCAAAATCCTTCAGCTCCCATTGGCCGGTTTCCAGCCAATAGGATCTGAGAAATTTTGCTGAAGGGCAGGGTCATCAATTAAAACCTCCTCTCTCCCTCCCTGTGCAGGAGCAGGGCCATGTGGAGCAGCTCGCCCAGGCCACCACTCTGTATCCCCTCTCTCCACCTCCTCCAGTCACAAAACCCTCCCAGTTCCTGCAGTCCCTCCTACACCCGTCCCCGAGGCCAGAATCCTCTCCTACACCCATAACCCCTCCTGGACCCTGCACCCCAAGTCGCTGACCCAGATCAGAGTCCCCTCCTTCACCCAGACTCCCTCTCAGACCCCCAGACTCCATCCTGCACCCCAGTCCTCTATCTCAAGCTCCATTCTACACCTCATCCACCGTTCCAGACCCTACGCCCCCTCCACAGAAGTGCAGCCCTTGATTTCTTACCAAAATCTTAGTGACCCCCTCCCCCATTAAAATTATTGCCTGCCCCTCATTTAAAGTAACTGGCGGCAAAGAGGGTCTCTTGGACAAACTTGAGTTAAGAATGTCGAGTTTGCAGAAACATAGTTTTCATTACATTTAAATAATGTGGGTAGTGCAGATAGTCTGCATAGAACTTGAGATGGGCATACACTATACCACTTTTGCCCGCTATTTTTAACATTTATCTCTGTTAAGTCTTTTTTTTTTTCTTGAGTAGTTTAGAGTCATATTTCAGTCTTGCATCACTTTCCTTTTAATGGTAGCTGAAATCCAAAATCAAATCCAGCTGTCCTAGCTCTTTCTTTGTTAAGTACATGTGTTCTAATCTCGGGTTCTATGGAACATAAAGAAATGAAAAGCGCATTCAAAGGTAGTGGAGGAAAATCCAGTTGGCTTTTAATCATGAAACTTTATTAAAAGTGTAAGCCTATCACTGTTTCTCTGCAGAGAGACTGTTTCTCTGCAGAATTAATAAGATAGCTGTGGATTTATTTACTGTGCTAAGGCTTTTGCTGTAGAAAGGAAGACTAGAACTTTCCTCCTGAATGAAAGTTTAGATGTAGGAGAAGGGCACAGCAAGAATATGCATAGTTACTGTGCCTTTCACAGAACCTTACATCAATGACTTCCTGAGAATTCTTAAAGCAATATGCAAGCTATATGTGTATTTAAATATACGGGCCTCACTGTAACTATATCTGAAGGAAGGAAGATAGCAGTACAATAAGCCCACACTTCAGAAGAATGACTAAATGTCATCTCTAATAGGGGTAGAATATATAATTAGGGATTGAATTTATTCAGAATGTCTGCTGAAACCTACACTGTTAACAGTCTGACTGGGATAGTCAGTGTCTTTATAACTTTTGCTGTTCAGAATTACAGCATATATTCATCCAGGGACTGGTTGAATAGAATACTAGTTTTAGTCTGTTTTAAAATGACTTCAATTGCTTTGTGCCTTCCAGAGTTGCAGTCTGAGGCCTCCTCACTGGCAGCTCAATATGGGCCCCTAAATAGCTTTAACCCTCCCAGACTTAACTACCGGTATTTCATTTTGGCTTCTTAGAGGTCAGTGATTCCAGCTGTTTTAATGACCACTTGCAGTCAAGGCACTTGGTTTTAAGTGTCATCTAAAAGCTAATTTAGTCATTCCCTCCCTTCTCAGTTTATTGAATTGATCCTTTTAGGAAAAAGACCCCAGAAATTGGATCGAGTGTTTGTGAATTGTAGAAGTATTGTTGTTTTCCTGGTTTAGTGTTTGATAAACTGGGAGGCTTTTAATACCATTGCACTGTAAGCTTATGTATAACCTTTCTGCGATCATCACTTGTACATGTTACTGTTCTTGAGCTTTCATTTTTATACTGGTCCCAGGCAGCATAGTTTATCTTGTATTGATCAAAGTGTAACCGTATCTTAGTTCTATTTGTCCATATTGTGAATCGTCTAGATTCCTTCTAGTTTGTTTTTGTTTACAACCTCTCCTAACATACTGTGTACATGACTAAACTATAGGCATGCTGCAGTATGAATGTGTTCCTTACTATAGTTCATGTGTTAAAATATAAAAACGGTACTGGTCCCAATGATCTTTATATTCCCATTTTTATAATTACCTGGAAGATTCCTATAGGGCTTGTCTTTCAATTGGTTTAAAAACTTTTAAAGTATATTTGATTACAGGCAGTCCTCGGGTTACGTACAAGATAGGGACTGTAGATTTGTTCTTAAGTTGAATCTGTATGTAAGTCGGAACTGGCGTCCAGATTCAGCCGCTGCTGAAACTGACCGCCAGTTCTGACTTACATACAGATTCAACTTAAGAACCCCAAGTCAGCTGCAGTCAGCTGCTGCTGAAACTGAT